AATGTAAACTATCAGCTTTTTTATTTTACCCTATATTACTGAATAACTATATCTCCAGTACTATACCAGCCACAGTGGGTATTTCAGAATTGGTATTATCATATCTGGTGGAAGAAAATCATTCACAACTCAAACAAGATATCCAATTAAAATTAGAAATCTTTCAAGTGATTTTAGGATGGATTTGCCATATCCCAGGGGAATAAGCACTTATTTTCAACATTTAATCAATGTGTTGGTCCCTGAGTCCTGGGAGGTCCTTTCCGGTTTATTTTTTAATGCTCATCTTTTCCAGGAAGCCTCTCAAGACTGCGTGACAGTGAATCACACTCTTTTTTGGTTCCCTCTGTGATGTCTGGATAGTTGCCCTTTTGAACCGAAATATTTACTTGTTTTGAGCCTTGTTACATTGTGATATCTCTGAGTGCAGGGATAAGATCTAATTCAATCTTTTTAGTGCTCCTAGCTCTTAGCCAAGTGCCTGGCATGGTGCCTATGGTGTACTAACAACATGGTGGTGCAGTAATGTTTTTTTGAAGTTTATTTAAACTCCTCCTTTTAGCCCATTGGTTAAGAGCACGGGCTCTGGCACCAGGAATCCTGAGTTTAAATTCTGTCCCTAAAACTTGCAATGGGACCTTGGTAAAGTTACCTAATCCCTCTAGGCCTCAATTTCTTCAACTTCAAAATGGGAATAATAATGATGGTACTTAATACACTTGTTGTGACCAATAACAGAATGAAATTATGAGTACACACACATGCATATATGTAATTTAAGAGTGCATGGTGAAAGCTCTTAAATGTAAACCTATTATTAGTTAGATTCAGTTTATTCATGTATACTTATCATTCTAAGATACTTATCATAATCACCTTACACTTGTAGGTAACTACAAGGGTGTATTTAGGGAGGACTCATCCCAGATTTGTATACCCTTCTCAATAATGCCCACATTTACAAGTGAGGAGGAGATTACCACTGCAGGAATATTATATAGTTCCTGTGTGAGTGAGGGATTAAATCCACACAGTACATCAGGGTGGCCTTTATTAAACCTATGTAAGGTACAATCTCCTTCCCATTCTAAAGCGTAGCCCTAAATTTATCCAGACCTTCATCAATTACAATATATTCCTGCATCGGGAGCTCTTTCTTCACTTCTCCTTTCCTTAACTACTTCGCTTTTCAATCTAATTCAGCTACTGTTTACTGAACAGGTGTTTAGCCATATGCTTGATTGCTTGAAGGCATTTAACCAGTAGTAGCAGGAGAGTCATTGTTTGGAAACTTGTCAGTTTATGTCATTCTCCTAGTTAAAATTAAAAAAAAATGTATTCCTACTTTCATTATGAGTAAAAAGTGTGATAAAGGTGATTTTAAAATATTCATATTTATACTTGAAATATTCTATAAGAACACACACACACACACACACACACACATTAAAGAGCCTAGTAAATTGTGTGTGTGTGTGTGTGTGTGTGTGTGTGTGTGTGTGTGTGTATGTACTATGCTCTTCAATTTTTTAATTATACTTTAGCTGATTTTGAACAGTCTCAAATATATACCTTCAAGCAATCCTGTGGCTATAAAACAAAAAAAAGAACAATTGTGTCTTAAAAATCTCTTATTCTAAAAAGAGCTGGTTAAACTTCATTTCCAATGGCTTCACCATTTCCTGATTATCTGTCATCTGTATGGTAGAGGAGAGAGAATCTGTAACCCAACTTGACAAGGTGGAACCCAAAAAGGTTCACTATACTAGAAGCCCTTAAGCGAAGTTGTTCTTTTATATTAAACATAATTAAACATTTAAATTAAACATGATATATACATTCTATTCCATAGAATACATACCTTGTATTAATGTAGAGGGTATGGCAAAGGTAAGCTTTTAGTTGTGAGTACATGAAATGCAGTTTATCTTTGTATTATTATTTATTAGTTATTGTATTATGTTCCATCAGAACAACTACAAACCTATTTTTGCCCCACCCTTTATGTGTTTTCCTCCTCCAAATCTCTGATCAGTGGACACTACTAGAACACACGTCTCATCTGTGCTCTTGGAGGGCTTCCTGTAAAACCTCACCAGTTTGGAATTAATAGTTTTATTTCACAACTAGGGCATTTAAATCAACTTGTCTAATGCTTCTTAACATTGAATAAAAAATAGTTTGTTTTTCTGGGATGATGGGCCTGGGGAAGACAGAGTTTAGGAAACACAATTTAAAAAAAAGGTTCTAAGGGTTTGTAGCCATTAAAACGGTGATGTTGAAAGGAAGAGATGAGTGTTCAGATGTGTGGAAATGCTGAGCATATTTACAGTGGGGCATCTGAGTGGAGCTTTCCTATAGAACATTTTGATGAAGGGATATTTCTTGGGTGAGGAAGAATCTGAAAGTACAGATCTGATGGTCATTTGTAGAAGCTGAAGCAATAGAAAATAAAATTTCTTAGAATGAGAAATTCTGAATGTCACTGAATCTTCAGTGGATAGAGGAAATAGAATCATTGACAGAGGAAAAAAATCACTTGTAGAAGACAGAAGAGGGGGAAAAACCAGCTCACTCACTGAAACAAAGAACAACGATAACTGAGTTTTGCCAACACTTGTCATTTACTTCAGAGGCATCAAGAATGAGAACAGGTTATCAAATAAAAGGGAACATTAAGATGTAGGAATAGAAACATAAAATTTTATTATGTGGAGAGTTCACAGGAGGACATGAATCCAACCCACCCATTATATTAGCAAACTTATCTATACTAATAAAAGCCTATGTGGTTGATATCCTCACACTTTCATGTCATGATGCCCTCAAATCATAACAACCCACCACCACAGGTGGGTCTTGGCAGCTCTGGTTCTGCTGGGCAAGGCCAGGGGTCCCCTGGTGTGGAGTCCCCCAGCTCTGGCCTACCTTTTTGGGGCAATCCATTGAGGAGTCCCAAATGGGTAGGCAGGTCTACCACTTTGGGGAGATCAATCACGGGGCTCCCATATTGTGAAAGGACACAGGCCAGGTTCGGGAACCCTCCTCCCGAGTGCACAATTTTATGCACTGTGTCTCTCATATAATAATAAAAAGGAAAAGAGTCCTAGAAAGATAAAGTCAAAATTCAATGACTGAGTCACTTTGGAACAGAACTGTTTTGTTATCTTGGCTTTGTAATCTAATGTCCTTGGTGCTCCCATATATTGCAACCCAGTCTCCTATGGCAGCGGCAGGCAGCGTATTCCAGGCAAATTACTAACAACACAACTTTTGGGAAGGTAGATATTTGCAATTCAACAATAAATGTAGCTGGAGTAAAATTTAAATTCATAAAGCAAAAGGGCCGTTTCTATGGTGATCCTTTGAACTTATTACTTAAAAGCGGTGTCACAGGTATGGTTCCTATCTAAACTTACTGCTGTGTTTTATTCTAAGGAAATATAATGATACTCAACTATTAATGGATAGAGGGGGAACTAACTACAGTAGAAGAAGAAAAAGAGAAAGACCGTGGAAAGTTGGAGGGAGAAGATAAGCCATCTCCTAAACCTGCAGCTTCTCACACAGGAAACACGGTTTCCTAAAATGACCACAGAACATTGCCATTCATATATGTGATGGAGGATTTGGAAATCTGGTAGTAAAAGGCTCATCCACAGTCCACACTGTAAAGCACCATTGCATCAACACCATCAACCAAGAAGCACCACTATAAAATTAGAAAGCAAAGAAAGCAAAACAAGGAAGAATGCCTCCTCCTTCTCCTAAGGAAGAAACCTGACCCTGAAGAAGATAAATAATTCTCCTTCAAGATAAACAGTTAGCTCCTCTTAGTGGGCTGACACAGAGGCAGGTCTATCACAGAGATGCTAGGTAATCTAGCTTTGTCTAAACCTATGGTTTTCAGAAAGACAAACCTCTGTTTAGCTAAGTGGATGTATTATTAGTTCAATTTTTGAATGGTTCAAACTTTCCTACCTCTAATGTATGTGTGAATCTGTCCAGTAGCATGCATAATTTTAAACAGGTACTTTCCAGGATGCCAAGTCAACCACAAAAAGAATTTCATGAAAGTTTTCGTATAAGTAAACTTTGTGGACAACACATTTGCTATTAAGGAATAAAAAATGGTATCAATGTTTATACCAGGAGAGACAGGTGTTGACAATTGAAATCAGTTCATTATTTCTCTTACCTTTTGTTTTCCATAGTACTGAGCGTAGTAATGGAGTATTAGAATGTCTAACCGAATGTTATATAATCTTAGGCAGTTTTTTCTATTTCATAATACAGAAATAACCATCTTCCTGTTTGCTTTTTTCCTAAATACCTTGAGGACATAAAGCTTTTAAAACTTATAAGCAGTAGAAAAATATTGGAAACTCAATTTGTATTAAAATATTATTCTTTGCACAAATCCACTGACCCATTTTTCTAAAGTAAAGGTAACTGCAGGGTTTTTACTTGCATTGAAAATTTAACAATTACAGTTCAATTTTTAATGTTCATATAGTGCCATAAAAAACTATATTTCAAGTTGCACAACTGACCTTCTTTTCTATAAAAATATAGATAGGGCCTAAATTATACGTAATTGTATTGTGGAACATTTTGAAAAGGAAAATCCTGTTGCTTTTCTTGCAGATAAATCAATTTGGATCTTAAACACTTCTTTGCATTTCCTTGCATAGTTAGAAACATGACTTTAATTTTCTATTAATTTAAAGAAACATATCTGACCACATGACAGGTTGACAATTATACTTGATTAGACAACTGTATAGAAAAAAAAAAAAAAAAAAACAAACAACAAAAAAAAAAAAAACAACAAAAAAAAACCCATACACGTAACAGATTTCCAGAGACAGAAAAAGAAACCACCTTTGCAAAGAAGAATCACTACAGTCTACGATCCCATCACAATCCACAGCACCAAGATCCACTCTGGTCTCTCCGGCAAGACCTTGAGATGTTTACGTTGCATTCGCTTCACTCACCTGTTTGGCTTAGTTGGGATGTGCTTCTACTCCGTCGGGACACTATGGCGACCACCTTGGCGCTCAGGCTGGACCTCCGTTTCTTCCCACCTGCTCCCACGGTCCCCACGGCCGTGTCCGACTGGCTGCCATCATTATGCTCCAGTGTGTACATCTCTCCACTCACACTGGTGCTCTTCGTGATGGCTCTTCCTGAAGTCCCCATCCGTCTGCCTTGCATTTTAGGGGTAAATGAACTATATTTACAAAGTAAAAACATATATGCATCCATAAATTACAGGTCAGCATAATCGAAACTCTACATCTAATTTATTTTGAAATAACCCAGGCACATTCTTAGGGGCCAAGCTAGTTGAGCCGTAGTACTTCAGCTAGGCATCTTTTAAGATCACATCACTGTCCCCAAACATTTACTAAATGTAGCTTAAAACAGTACAGCAGAAGAAGCTATAAACTTTTCAAAAGAGAGTACAAAGAAATGCAACCATACTATCTATGGTAGGTAAATGTTACTGGCCAATTTTGTAAATATTATAGTTACTATTTATCTTCAGTTAATACTATTTACTATTAGCTATTTAAATCAACTCAGCATGTTTTTATGTATTGCTGAGGAAAAAGTTTTGTTAAAGATGGACACTGAATTTGCCACATGACATGGTTTAAAAAAATTAAAACAATATCTTTTCTAGTTTTCCTTTGGGATTCCAATGAGCAGACATTATCTTTGCTAACTGAGGCTTAAGGAGTCCAGGAAAGACTGCTAACGAGTCAAAAAACTGCATTTCCCTTTTCTATCCTTGTCCCCTGATGCTCCATCTCCTCCATCAAACGTCATCTCATTTTTCGATTTTCGCCCCTCAAATCCACATGCTCTAGGCTGAGACTTTCCTTTTTGTTGTTCTTTTCTATAAAAAATTTAATTGTCTATGTTCCCAGTCTGTACTAGTTTATTTGAATTATTTTACTATACTTTTCTCCCAAATGAATAAATTATAGTTGAGAATTTCAGGAACCATGAAAGGTTCCTGCCAAAGTTAATGTATGCTTCTGAGCTAGAGAGAGGTAGGCAGGGAGGTGCCAAGGATGTTAGGATACTTTGAACCTTTCAGAATAATGTTGCATCTGTAGCACTTATTGATATATCTGAAATGATCCTCTTAATTTTATGCTGTCTCAAAATACTTTCAAACATTGGCTTACACAACCCTTGCCACCATATAAATTTTTTATTTCTTGACTTGATCTACAAAACACATCATGATGTAATGTAACATATTTTCACAGCGATATCACTTAATAGGTTGAAATAAATACTAATATGATTAGAAATGATAAAACAAAGTTTTATCTTGGGATCATATAGCATATTTGTGGTCACATATATAATGAATTTTTAAGTAGAAAGAGAAATTGGTGTGGGCTGAGTTCAGAAAGGTGGGAGAGCAATACTACCATGAAATGTTGTACAATGTTCTTTAGGTTATATAGAAGCTTAAAAGTATAGAAAAATGTCTCCTATAATATTTATATCATGAACATTTATTCAAAATGAGGTAGGAAGATTAAAAAATGTTATATGGATATTTAATCACAGCAGTGAAATGTTCTGCAAAGTTGACAAATAAAAGTCATGAACAACAAAAAATATAAATCTCTGTATAATAAGAGATTACTATTCTTGGGGGGGGATTTGAATTAAGAAATTATATTAAAATAATTTTATGAATAAATAAGATACATTTTTTTCCTCAAAAAAGTTTTTTTTTTGCTTAAAATAATTCTTATATGATCCAAGACCAGTGCAGATGCAATGAAATAATTTGTACACAGAAACATAAAAATATTTTGGGCATAAAAATAAAACATGAAAACATTTAAAATAAAATATTTAGTTAAAAATTTTAAAAGGAAATATTGTTTGACAGTGTTTTAAAAATGAGGGTAAAATTCTTTGCAGTGATTTGATCAATCATTATAGTTTCATATAATTACACTAGAGACCTGGTGCACCGGTGGGGTCCTTTGGCCTGGCCTACACCACCTCACAATCCAGAACCCCTCAGGGGATGTTGGACTGTCCGTTTCCGCCTAATCCTCACAGGCCAGGCCAAGGGACCCCACTGTATATAAGATCTTTAGTTAATCTCTTCCCTTCCTCCCTCCTCCTTTCCCTCTGAGATTCATTAGTCTGTTCCATGTTTCCATGCCTGTGCATTGAGTGAGTGTCTGCCCCCTGGTGTGGTCAGTGTATATCATAGCTACCGGTGGAATGGTTGCTTAGGCTTTTATATAGATGGGAGGTTCCAAAGAGTACATTTCCATTAACTCGGACTAGTGCCAGCTACTAGTCAGTCAACTGCATACCCCTCTAAAGGAGGCCAAGAAGAAGATGAAGAATTCAAGAAGTAACCAAATACTATGGAGAACTTTGCCCATAAGAATGATCTTTCCTAAAGCACTTTATTTATACCTCTTCAGAGAATTATTGAGTCTGGATACTGTCACTTCCTCATTATCATCTTCAGTTGTAATACAACACCTCTTTATATGTGCCTATTTTAGTCATAAATTTATAGATCTATTTTGACCTGCCACTTCCATCAGCTTCAAGTCTCCCTTTCCAAGTTTCTCTCCACACTGTTAGGTCCCACCTAGGATTGAGTATCAGTCGCTGCTGTTTTCACTACTGAGGCATACTGGACACATCTGATGAATGGCTCTGGGTAGCCTAGACTAGGCTCAGCTTTGGTTCCAATGAAGGCTGTGTGCTCTCTCACACTAGCAAGAAAGTTTGAGGGAGAGGCTTTCTTGGGTGAACATATGAAAAACAACTGGGTACAAAAAAACTAATTTACATTCACAAATTTCTCTGCACTACTCATTGCAGAGTTAGGGCTTCAAAGAAATAGGTACTATTTCCTACAGGAATATTCCAGAGAGGTGCAGGACTCAGTAATAGTGTTTGAATTTATTCTTCTTTTCAAGGTGGTTGACCAAGCATCAGAGAGGAAGTACAGGACATTACTCCTTGGAAAAAGGACAGCTTGGGACATAACCCATTTTCTTTCACTTGTTAGACTGAATTGAAAAATTGATAGAATTGATGTGCTTCAAGTTAATGGTATAAATATAATTAGTTGCAAAAGTAAATTTTGTTTGACATAAAACTAATTAACTTAATCATTATAATCATTACTTATATTATAATGCTTATGGAACACTAGCTGTGTGTCTAGCAATGTGCCAGATTTTCTAGGAAGTATACTTTAAACATGTAAACAAGAAAATATAGCATGGAATTATAAAATATAAGCCAAAAAATAATTATTCTACACATAATAAGAGAGATTTTTGAAAATCTGAAAAATGATCTCAGAGCATGTTCACTCAGGAAGGCAAGAGTTTTATGATAACAGTTGATGCCAAATCGGTCAGACTTCACAGAGAAAGACCTGATTCCACCTGAAGGCCAATGGGATTATTTCACAAATTCTCCCTGGAGTCAGCTTATAGTATCTAACAGTTTGCCTTATTTATTTCTTATCTATTTGGCTGATGGGCAGCACAGGAAAACTATGCCTACCGTTTCCTTTCTGTACTTCCCTGGGGCACACACCACGTTTCAGATGGGGAAAGATTACTGAAGATTCCTTAGGAAACTGGGCTTCACAGATTTTAACATTTAAACTATTTCTAATGTCAAAATCTCCTTTTCTATTTTGTTCTTTAACTATATTCCTACTTTTTAAAATAGGCAGCTTTACAGAGTCAAAAACAAAACTAATGACAAAAGCCTATGAGCTTTAAGCAAAGACAGACCTAGATTTAAGTGACAGCATCATCCTGTGCTATTTGTGGCTCCAGATGTTTGTAAAATCTCAGATATCTCATCTGTATAATAAAGAGAAACTCCTACTTGAATTGAAAATCATATTTGTAAAATATATTCAATTATAAAATAATAGTAACTATTAGCATTAGTATAATAGCCCCAGTACCATACTGTCCATAAAATTTTAATTACTTGTGGTGAAGTGATAATTCTTCTAGGGTGTCGAAATCATTTTCTATCAATCATGGGATTTGAAGGTCTTATCTTAAAGGTTTATTTTGTTTTGTTTGGTTTTTGTGCTTGTCAGCAAACTTTATTGGACATGCCTCCTAGTTACACTGCTCCCATTTGAATAAAAAGGGCCACAGGCATTTGCTCCTGTTCAGCTTGATGCAGCGGTACCCTGTGGCCTTAGCCATAGCTGACTGGACCAAGGACTGGTATCTGAGTGGAAAGCAACCTACACACTGTCCTGGCATGGGCACTCCGATAACAGGATGATCTTTATGATCACTAACTACTCCCCTAACAGTAGGCTCATCCATCCTCCCTCCTTACATTCCAACATCCTGAGATCCCAGAATATCTTTGTCTGTCTTGGCAGGAATCTGTCTTTACTCCTCACATTATTTTTCCTTTTTCTAGCTTCCATTCCTCATCGCAAGAATGGCCCTTTCTCTGCTATAGCACCTTTCTTCCCAATTTTATGGTCCTGAGCTCCCTTCATCTTCTCCATCACTGCCCCTGATTGCTTTTTTCTCACATACCTTACATTTTACTGCCAGTCCAAGATCCTGTTCTCTTTGCCCTGTCCTGGCATTTGCCCTCTAACTTGGGAGAAATTCTCCAGGGACACATTTGCTTTTTATATCTACGATATGTTCTTAGGTATTATTTTCATTGTAAACATTACCCTTTAAGTGAGGAAATTTTAAGATGCCAAGAAAATAGTAACACATTATGAACTATTTCCAGCAATGTGGTATATGATGTTTCTGAAAATCTTTTCACTCTCAAATGCCTAGAAAGGATGGGAAAATTACAAGAAATACACATTGAAATACAAACCTAAGTTCATGAGAAAGGTGAAGAAATAGAAAACAGATTGCTAAGTGGGTGATGAATGTCTTGGGGGGTTTTGCAGACGAGAACTTTAGAGCAGGCCCAATGCGGAGTTAGAATTGAAACCCCTATGTGAGCTGAGACTCTTAAGAACAAAGAAAAATGGGGGCCTCAGCCTAATCTCCAATGGACCCTCACCAGTGGCATTTCTAATTCAAATATTTCAGGAAAACAGAGAATGCTTACAAAATGAATTTCTAAGACATACAAAGAAACTAGAGAATATATGAATCAATCTAAGTTATCAAAATATAACATCAAATAATGGGAGAAAGAAAA